TGTAGTGCACTGGAATAGGGAGAGAGAATATATAAAATATACTCTTAAAGTCTTCCAGTGACTTGGGTAAGACGATTGCACTTGATCTTCCTAACTGCCGGTATTTGCAGCTACTAATACCTAGTACCTAGTAGAGGAACAGTAAATTTGGGTTGCTTAATAAATTAATATCTTATACATAAATATTTAGTGAATGAAATAAGAGGGCCTGAACTAAGGTAATGGCAATAATAACGGGAAATGAGGAACAACTGGGGAAAATACTGTTGAGACAAAATCAGTGTAATTAATATTAGCTCAGAAGGGGAGAAGAGTGCATGGTTCTGTGGTCTGAGGCTGGGGAGAGTCAGAGATGGGGCCCGCACCTCCCTGTGTGAGTCTGGTAAACACTTTACACAGAGGCAAACTCAGGGAAGGTGCATTTACATATGGGCTCGCTATACTTTTCTGAATAGCCAGAAACAGTGTTCTTAACTAATTTAAAAGGATCCTAAGCAATGTGGATCCAATGAAGGGTTAGTTTAGGCCCCACTCAGTTTTTCTCAGTACCAAATAAAAAACAAACCAAAAAGAAAAGCGAATTAAATAGAAAAGCTGCCCTATAGCTCATCTGGCAATTTTAGAAGCAATCCATTTTACTTTAAGTACTCCTAACAGATACCTTCTAAAAGGCAGAGATACTGGAAAAGCAAAACTCAATGTTCCCAGCTCACAATGTTTCCATCTCTGCCCTGATGGACGGTAAAATAATGAAGATGATCTACATACTCCCTACCACAAAATCCAGCTATTTGCTAAGAGACAGGTTTGCTTTTTACACCAAAACTATCTTACATTTCCACTAGGGAGAAAAACCATGGGAGGAAGGACTCCCCTCAAAGACAAAAACCCTTGTAATGATTTATGGTGAATCATGTTGATAAATCTGATCACATTTCTGTTAGAAAGATGATACAGCAACCTTAATATGCACTTAGCAACTGTGAGTTACATAGTGAGATATTAACTAAGAAATCTTATTTCTTGCTTTAGAATAACATGAGCTCTTTCGAGTTTTCTGAAGTTTTACAACCTAAACCTAAGCAGACACAGACCTGCTACTGGCCCCCAGGGTATGCGCTGTGTATTCAGGAAACCGACTGTCTGTGACATTTACCTGAAAGAGGTTTTAAGTACATGACAAACAGCAAGCACCTCACATCGGAGCTCGCAAAACAGGTGCCTAAGACCAGGCTGCTCTCCCTGGCTACAAGGTCAGGGCACGGATGCACTGTGCAGCCACACACACTCCATCTGCTGTCCTCATCTTGGAGCTGTGACCATGTGGTCAGGACCCAGTCCAAGGTCTATCGTGTTCTTCACACTCCGCAGCACCTAGACACCTCAGGGGCCCTGTGAGCTTGACTGACCTCCCGCCAGCAGGATAAACTACGTACGTTATGGAATCATGTACCCGTGGTCCTCTCTAATTCTTAGCTCAACTCCGAGTTCCAATTCCTGAGGAGCTTGGAAGACACCTCTGAGATCCCCTGACAGAGTGGAGACCAACACGCAAGGACTTCAAAGCACTGCACCCAGCCAGGAAGTGCTTTTTCCTTAAGTCCAAGGATAAAAGATCCACAGAATAAGCCCTTTTTTCACAGAATGATTAAGAGAGATGAAAAATTATTGTAGAATTACCTACAGTCTTAAAATACCATGTTTGCCTTAAAGAGATGCTGTTTCTCGTGTCCCTTTCCCCTAAATACCATTCCAAATCAGATGGAAACAAGGGGGCTGAACAGGGAAAAGTTCAACATCCAGAAAACCACAGTGAGGTAGGAAAAATAGACTCTACACCAAGACAACAAACAACACTTCAGAAGCACAAAGGAATTTGCTCTCATAGTAAAAGAAGCCTGGGAGAGTCCTCGTGGGAAGACTCACATTGTCCCGGGACAGAGCTAAATAAATCATATTACCACAAATTCCTAACATTTTAAAACTAACAATAGAAGGGCCAGGAAATGCACAACACCCTTTTAAGAGGCTTCCTTTAATCCTCTTCTTTGCAAATTGCTTCTACATTTCTTTCTGGGGGTATGGATAGCAGAATTCCTCAGCAATTCCAACAGAGCTAGGAGACACCTTCTCCTGAGTATCAAGTACCAAGGCCTGTGCAAAGTGTTACAGACATGAAGTCTTGACCGCTCAGCATTTCTTGTAAACGTATAGTATTTCTAGCCTTTAGAAATAAAGAGACTTTTAGAAATGAGGAAAGTGGCACTCAGAGAAATGAAGAAAACTGCTGGAAGATTGTACCCAGACAAGGTAGCAGGGCCAGGATCCAAAGCCCTGTTCTTAGCATTATCTTGCTTCTTCTGTTAATGAAAATGGATTCGCACCCAGTATAAACTCACTGTACTGAGCTGGCATTTGGGCTATAGAAGAAAAATGCCTCTTTGTTATATCCCCCATCGGCCCTGGGGTCTAACAGTGGACCTTTGAGTTAACAACTGGCCTGACATACGAACAATTTGGGTTATGACCAGAATTTTAGTCATAATTTATGACCAAAGTCTTGAGTTACAACCCGAATGTGAACCACTTGTGCTTCCAGATGGTCTCAGATACAGATTTAACCCTTAAAGAGTCCTGGAAGGACCGTGACAGCATCTTTTCTATGTGAGGTTCACTGAGAAATCCTGGGCCAGGGTCTCTCTAAAGACACTGAGATTCGCCTGTGTTCAGGAGAGAGACTCTGAAGGCCGTGCAGAGGAGCCTGGGCCTCCCTTGACTAACTTCAGTGACAACCAGCCCTCGGGAAGGAACTGAGTTCATAAGTTAAGGGTCCACTGTATTTGCTTACTACACCCCCAGCAGCGCAGAACCAAAAAGGGAAGCCTCTTCCTCAAAATGATCACTCAAGACAGATACAGCAAAAATCATGTACTCAAAGCCCTGCACAAGCCCTGGGGCCATACTCAGATCGCAAACTTTCATTTTCTTTTCTTTTTTTTTTTTTTTTT